TCCCAAGCAATTTAAAATGGTTTTTGAAAATTGTCCTGAGAGGGTACCAGCCCGATGCATGGGATGAGGCTGTCTGCCATGAATCTGGGCAATAAGGAAACACTAATGATTTTTCACTTGCCCATAAAAAAAAATCACTCATTAGGGCAGTTTGATTCTGCAAACTGACTACATGAAAATTGCAACTTGCTCTTCAAATCCGCTATCTGCATATTCATATTTCAGCGACACAAATATATCTCACTGCTTTCTCTCCTGTTAGCCCTAAAGAGCCAACTCAACTCAAAGACAGTAAGCTGGAGACTGTTCCTTCCTGCTTCTCATCAACATAATTGTCAGTTGCACATGGAAGGTGTTAGGGTTGTACAGGTGCCACTGAGGTAACCATCTGAGGACCGTGAGTTGCACAGGTTGGGCCTGCAGTCATGGTAGCAATCTGTGAGATGGACAGATCTTAGGCTTGACTTTCAGAACCCAGGCTGAGTTTGCAGGCCTAGGCAGTCAGACCTCTCTCTACATGTAAAATGAACACTTTTAATATAAATAATTGAGGCACAATAAATCAGGACCCATCAATACCATTTTTAGAGTTGCTTTTGCAGCAGAGAATTGCACTCGAAAGAAATTAAGATGAGGATCTTGAGTATGCCAATGATATTGACTGTCATGGACCATGGACTCCTGACCAACTACAGATAGAGCTGCAAAAAACTGCAGAATCTGTGGGACTTAAGATCAGTGGTAAGAAAACCAAAGTTATGCAAGTTTCCTGTAAAATGGTAAGGAATGACCTGCTGATGCTGCGTGTGGATGGCAATGACAGTGAATGGGTGAATCGCTTATCCGGGTAGTGAGTTGACAGCAGGAAGTTCTATAGCTGCAGAAGTCATATGTCGTATCAGTCTTGCATCTATGTAATTTCACCTTCTTCAAAGATCTCTGTTTGGGCCATGGGATGTCTGTGTGACAACTAAGATAGGAGTGTTCAATGTGGTAGTGATGATGATTTTGTTACATGAAGCAGAAACATGGCCATTATAAACAGCTGAGGAGAAATGTTTTGCGTTTTATTTCCAGTGTCAAAAGTTATGGCGTGTTCCGGTGGCTTGATTTTTGTCACAAACAAGGAGCTAGTTACAAGGAGCTGCAGTCTTGCACCAGTTGACAACACGACAGCTGCAGTGGTGGCATCCTGTCTGATGTGCAGAAGATGGAATGCTTTTACAGATGTTTTATAAAGCTGAGGTCAAAGGATGGAGAGCAAGAGACTGACCACAAATGATGTTGGAAGATGCCATTTTGAGGGATTTAAGAAGCCTAAACCTTCCCAAACTGACTCTTGCTGAAGGAAGATTTGCAAAGGACTGTTCAAGATGGAAGGCCATTCTGTGCACCACCACATCTACATCACATCCATGTGAATCTGCTGCTGCTGGGTGAATATAGCATTTTAAAACCATTTAGAACTGTGTTAGAGAGCTGCTTTGGCATCCCAGTAGAGCAGTCTTTGAGGGACAGCTGAACACAGATCAGAGTTCATTGGTTTAGTCATAGAGTGGTTAGGATTTTATATGGCTTTCCATGGATACAGTTTTAGATAGTCTTCCAAGGCAATCCCACAATACACAAAACAAAGGCAACAAAGCAAATGCTTGGCAATTTCTTTCTTTCTTGGTTAGTACTTAGATTGTAAGCTGTTGGGGGCGGGAACTGTTTTTGTTCTATATTTGTACAGCACCTAGCACAATATGCTGTGACTGGGGTTCCTATGTGCTACTGCAATACAAATCATAATAACTGCTAATCTAGCAGGTCAATGTAAACTAGACTCACTGACTAGTGCTTTATCTTGTCTCGTGGGTCCATGAACTACCAGCACTTTAGAAATGGTTCCTTAAGCGTCATGGTAATGACCATTTAACAAAATACTGTTACACACTTTAAGCCACATTTCAATTTGTCATTTACCCCTTTTTGAAAATGGCATAATTGGATGTCTTGCTTGGGGTTGCTACCTGAATAGAGGATCAGAAGGGGACTGGTTAGTGAGGGGGAAAGGATGGGGTGTGGGCAGACAAGGAAGGGGTGTGGTTCAATGGTGAAGGAAAACTGTGGAAAGCAGGGTTGCAGAGTGGAGTCTTGGAGACTGAGGAACAAGGAGAGCTGGGTTGGGTAAGAAAGTACTTTGTCCTGGAAGGGTATTTCAGAGGGTTGGGCTTTTCAGTCTGAATGGGCAATACATATTGTAACAAGATGTATGCAGAACAACCAAGTCACAAATGTGACCCGATTTTTGTAAACCTCCTCCATTACCCTCTTCCCCATCCCCCCACTTCTTTAACCATGTTTACCGTTAGATAAGTTCTTTAGAGCAGGAAGTGTGTCTTCCTATAAGTTTGCGGCAACAATCATACTAATCTTACCGATAAGGACACAATCATTTCCTGTTACGTCTGTGTTGTTTTTTATTTTGTGGAGAGCAACAGAATGTTAATGAAAGGAAGATATTTAGACTATGAAGTTGTCTGGGCTTCTGCAAAAGACAATCACCAAGTTTGCCCCTCCCCCTGTCCCCCACACACATTGAAACAAGCTTCCAAGCTTATACACATATTGAGGTAATACTATTTGCATATTAAACCATATAGAAATGTCCCTTTAAATCCTGGGTGAAAGATCATATTTCCACTCTGTGATTCTTCTTTTCTTCTGTATTTATTTAACACAAACCTTGGTTATGAAAATGTGAGCAAATTTGTCTCACTAGAGTCATGATCATCATCATATTGACTTTAATGTAGCTGCTACTTGTGAAAATTACTTCTGGCAAAGCTATTGCTAATGAAAGATTGTAGATGGTTCATGGGGTGTTAAACAGACACGAATATGGCCATCTGTTCATGTTTCAGTCTTGATCACTTTTATATTAGAGTAAGAAATGAGGCTCAAATAAAGATTGGATCAGCCCCAGACCATGTTAACACTCATTGTGCTGGGCTGCAAAAAGCTATCCAAAATGACCCAAGAATTTCTCACCTGGGACCTTTTTCAATTTTATGAAGCAACAGCTTTTTAATAGCTTGCTGAATTTCCATTGTGCACACCACAGGTAGTGAGAAAAATCAATGTTTTAAAAACTCATTTGACGTGGCTTTGAAGACAACCGATCTGATTTTCCTCTCACTTGCATTCATTTAATTCCATTGACTTCAGTAGAGTTAATCCTTAGTTACACCTGTTTAAGTGAGAGCAGAATCAGGCCTAATTCTTAATTACCTTATCTATAGTGTTAAATCTTCAAGATATATCTGAATTAAAGTGACATAGTGACTAACACTGGCTATTCAGTGAAAACCTCAGGCAACTGCCCGGCTATGTTAAGGAGTCCTTCCTACTTATTAACATCCTGAATGTCTGCACTGGGCTTTTCCCCAGTCTAACTTCTCTCTGCAAACATGGCTCCCTACAACAAGGAACATTCATTTTTCACTGCATATAAGCCTCTGAAAACTTCTGTGCTTTACTGTAGATTTTCATCCACTGCACTTCCAAGTAATGAAGTTGACATTGGCATTTAGAATCTGTAATGTGAAACAATATATGTACAATTAGAATTTGATGTGGAAGTGTGAAATATAAAATATATGAAATGGATCAAGAAGGTGGGATAAGAATCTGTTTCCATTAAATTCACTAGTCACATATTTGCTGATTCTTAAAGTTCACAGCATCACTTACATACTTAATATACTATTTTATAGTGTGACCCTACAGCCAGAGGTAGTGCACAGTACAGAATATGAATTAGCCCAGCCATGATGTAGACAATATGAAGTGTATCACAGGTCTCTTCCAGGCAGGCTTTAAATATGGGCCCTCAGAAGTTAAAAAATAAATGAACCATTTTAGCTGATATTCCCCCAAAAATTCATCTTCAGGCAAGCACGCAGCATGGAAAAGAAGTACAATTTACAGTGTTCCTTGTATCATTGGCCCTCTCCCCAGGGCCTGAGAGAAGATGAGGTCTCCCATCCTTGGGAGCGCTCTGAATCTGGGCTTAGCTAGCCCCGGTCCTCTCCCCTGGCACTTTCTTCCTGTGCCTTTTTATCAGTCCTCTGTTTATGACCTAATTAATCCTCTAGCACCACCCACCTGCCAGCCCGATTAGATAATTACATCCCAATCAGACCAGTCTGGAGGACCTAATTAGTGCTACAGTGATCAGAGTGCTGTCTGACCTGCTAGCTCCCAGCACTGTCACACCCCTATTACTATCATTTTCACAAGGCAGGGGGACAGAGCCAGAACAATGAATCCAGGGACCCACCTCCATGTTTGAAGTTCAGATCTGGTCCAAGTGTGATGGCTTGGGGCCATCTCTACAAAGGATCCATAATGGAATTATGAATCCAAACACACGCAGACTAGGGAGATATTTGGACCTAAATCTTGGTCCAAATGTCCTGGCTCTGGCTCAGATCTAGAGGTAATTCCCTAGTGTGCTGGGCATTGATTTCCACCCATGTTTAGTTCTTTGTGACTAACACTATTAAGGGAGTGAGAGAAAAGAGTGAAATAGAAGAAGGTATGTACTTCTCTGCTCTTTCATCAGTTCATTCTGTACCTCTTCCTACAGCGGCTACAATATAATGTTTTTCAATAGAGCAACTCTGCAAATTTGGCTCAAGGAGACCCTGAGCAAACAGCATTTCACAACCCTTCAACTCAGCTGTCAGAGGGAAGTGTGTTTCATATGTATGCTTTCCAAACTACATTAGAGAAAAGCTTCTAGGTTTGTATGCATTTTTATTTATCAGTTCCAGATCAGGAACCTGATGCTAATTTCTCTTTAAAGCCTCCGCAGTACATTTATATTCCAAAAACAAAAAAGGAGTGTGACGTTTTCTCTTTCTCACTCGCTCGCTCTTGCTGTGTGTGGGGGGTTCCTCCCACCCCTTGGCTTTACTCTAAAGACCTTTGCATTTCATTACAGTCTCAAGATGAAGGTTCTGGAGGTTATAGTAGTGCTGATAGCCCTGGTACAAGTTTCTCAGAGTTTCCCCACATTGTACTACAGGAGCTGGATGAGATTGTTAAGGGAAGGAGATAGCTGTGGAAAATGCAATTTGGAACTTTGCTCCAAGCCTACACACTGTCCAGCCGGGACTGTATTAGATCACTGTGGCTGCTGTTCTGAATGTGGGAATGTGGAAGGGCAGATCTGTGACTTGGACAAGGTCAATCATTTCTACGGGCAGTGTGGGGAGAACTTGGAGTGCAGGCTGGATGCCGACGAACCCAAGTTTGGGGAAATCCCTGAACCACAATGTGTCTGCAAATCCCAGGAAAGTGTCTGTGGACCTGAAGGCAAGACCTATGCGAACATCTGCCAATTCAGTGAGGCTTATTCTGAGAAGAGAAGAAATATCAACATGAAGCACAAAGGACCATGTGAATCAGGTAACATACATAGACATGTATACCAAGTAAACTGTTCTCTAAACCAGATATATAAAGGAGACAAAGATTTGATGTTAATTTCTAGAAATATCTTTTAATGTTTCAGTCTTCTTACAGCAAAATTATGCTTCAGCATCATTATAATTACAATAGTACTTCTTTGAGATTTAAACAAGTAATTCATCAGCTGGTGTTTAATCTTGTGTGTTGTAAGCTTGTTTATTACCATAGTGGATTTTATATCACATGGTCACTAATAAGCAACAAATCTACAGACTAGGTGATCTCCAAATATGTGGCGTGTGAACTTGTATATTACACAAGTTATATGTAAAGTTATATATGACCATAATGGAATTAATGTCACAAAGTCACTAATAAGTGAAAGATGTTCAGAGTAGCTGAACAGAAAGTGAAATGTGGTGAGGGTCGACCACAGAGGTAAAAAATCTATAGAATTGTTATTTAATGCCTGAATTGATATTGCAGTGGTGGGTAGCAAGGCATGTCTCAGTTAATATGGTGGTGAAACCGGAATGGAATGGAATAGAATAAGGTTTGGAAATCACTTTAATAAAATTCCACTCTTGGTATAAAGAGTTAAAAACAATGTAACAATGATTTTTAAAAGATCTAAAGACCCACTGATGATTACAAATCCACACATTAGAACAGAATCAAACTGGAATAATTTCCCTAAAGGCATTTGCATTCATGGCGATTATATAAAATTAAGAACCTCATTTCAGTTTGTTGAGGCTTTAAACTAAATACACCTTTGGCTATATTTTATTTGCATAGGTAAGAAACAAGCATTCAGATGCAGCTACCCCGCATAGCGGAGTGGTAGGAGAGAGAATGAAGTGATTAGGATAGTTACTTGAACACTGGCTGTTTTTACAGTCTGATTTTAATGTGATTCATCTTTCAGGAATTAGTATCACCATCTCACACAGCCGATTTCTGAGTGACCTAAAGCACATTATAGAGAAAGGTCCAAATTACACACAGCGAGACACAAATAGGGACTCAGAATGCACATATAGAGGGACTCTCTATACAAGATCTCAAAGTGTATATATGTTTGCAGTTTATCTGAGATTATATGTAGAGTTCACACACAAATCTGTACACATGAATATTCCTGTTTAAAACTGTAATGATGCATCATCTCCTATCAATTGTTTTATATAGTATAAAATGTTGCTTGGAAGTAGCCTCATTTCTTTGCAGAGAATTTGAAGCTTCTTGTCTCTTCATGACTTTCTCCCCGGAAGTTTATTTAAATTGTTTGCTTGTTTTACTAAGCTGGACTAGTAAGCACTGAGTGCAAGCAGAACCAAATGTACAGGATCCTCAGGTTTGCACATCAGCAGAGATGCCAAAGAAAATTCTCCAAATGCTTTAGCCCCACTGCCCCTTGGAACAGAAAGGATATTGCAGAAGACTAAAGTTGCACTGAAAAAATGTGCTTGAAACAGGAGATCCAGAACACCGAACTATTCCACTGATAACCTCTTGTGGTTCAGAGGTGATAGAGGTGATAGCTTGTACGTTGGTTACTGGTACAGCATTTGGCACAACAGCCTATAGTCCTCGAGGTCCATGTCGTATTCCCGCTGGGCTCTTCCCATTCTTGGCTGTGAACAGACAACCCTGGGCCAAATTCAGAAGTGATATAAATGGTGGGTTTTGTTACACTCCGGTCCACATATATTTGCTCCCTGGACCCGGGGGGCAATTGCATGAGGGTGGAGGTTCATTGTCCGGGGAGAGAACAGAGCAATCCCCCTTTCCTGTAGGGGGTTTGCCAAGCATCTTTAATTTGTGGCCTTGGCTCCATAGGAGTGTTGCTGGCCAAGGAGCTCAGAATGTGCACATCCGTTGATTGTCCTGCTCCCACCCTCCCTCCAGCAATCTCAGTGCCAGGCAGTTCCAACCCCCCGACAGAATGGGGGTTGTTGTCTGCCAGCCCAGCACCCACTCCAGACTTTGTCATGAGGATCCTATATGCTGGCAGGAAGGAATCCAGCTACAGGGACTCCAGCTACATGAATTTGCATTCATGCTGGGATGGAGGAATTGTTGCAGGAAAAGCAACCAACTAGAGGATGCAAGATAAATTAGCTCCCCCTGCCTCCATCTCACCTTGTCCTCTCCAACCCTACCAGAGTCCTTGCTGACTGAGGTTTGGTAGCACTGCTGTTCTAGTCCATCTGTTCATTCTCCTCTCCTGGCATGCCAGAGCTCCATGGGGAAAGGTTGATACTGACTCTCCTAAAATTCCTCTGCAACCACACCCACAGTGCTGCATACATAGAACTAGTCACTTTAAAGAGAACCTTGGTGGCTTTAGTTTATAGTCTCCTTGCAATTTATCAGTCATACATTGGAGTGGGGAGCAAGCGGTGCGTCCACCTCTGGTCACACCTTCTGTTCCTTAGCACTCCCATTTTCTGCTGCCTACACACTGGTGCGAACAAGGGCAGCATATCAGCACTCCAGTATATTTACAAGTGCTCTTGCAGGTGGCAGGCATTTCAAACACTGATTCTGATCCACTCTGTAATTGTGTAAATCAGTAACTCCTGGATTCTGGGAGTTAGACTACATGACCCTTGCTGTTCCTTCTCACCCTATGATTCTAATACTGATTCTGCCCCTGTCTGTCTCTCTGGCCTTGGACAAATTGTTTAGCCTTTGTGTGCCTTAGTTTCTCCAAGTGTAAAATGGGCATAATAGCTCTTTCCCACTTTTGTAAAGCACTTTGCAATCTAAGGATGAAAACTCTGTAGAAATTCACAGTATTGGTATAGCAGCAGAGCAGAATATACACCTTACTTTATATTTGTGCACTGTGTAATGCACAGGATAATGGGACTTTATAAGAACTTCAGCATGTTTTACTTCAGTGCAATAAAACTTTATGTGATCTTAGGGGAAAACATTAAGAAGTTATGAGAGGCTGCCATGCCAAGTTGTCATACAAAGCTCTTTGAATTGTCTTCCACCACGTGAAAGAATAGATAGGATTTCAATGGGGAATATTTGCTTAAAAGCCAATTCCAAAGGGTATAAAAGGCATTTTAGCTCTAAAGTGGCAGAAAAAAAGTAAAAGATTAAAAGGTATTTTAAATCATATGTCACTAACACAAATGCCCAAGAATCTAGATGAGGATAGTACATTGAATGTGCTATTCACCACTGCTCTGTGCCTTGTGAGCTTGTTTACAGTGCTGCAAAGTGTGTGTAAAAGGCCACCATTAGGTTATGCCAGTGCTTTATACCAGTTTCACATAGCTACAAGTAATTCTAAAACGTGTAAGGCAGTGGGAAGTCTAGGCCCTGAGATTGGCAATTTGTCTGTGCCTAGGCATTCTGCTGGTTGTCCTTTGTATGAGAAACAGATGTTGAGCACGGATCGGTATCTTTTGGTAGCATTCTGTAAATATATACATCACTAATCTCAATGCAAGTTGTTTTCATACTTTTCCTTCAAAGCATCTCCTGTCCTAGGGATGCCAAATAGATTAATTGTATACAGCAACTGATGAATAAACAAATAACAATAAACTCCTTTCATCACAAGAGCAGACTTTTATCTTCTGTCTGCCACAAAAACACACACACAAAGGCAAAGTCACACACAAGAAAAGGCCCTTTTTCCTTCCCCGGAAGGTTGGTTTGATCAATTTCTATAATAGCTTACAAAAATTGTTAACTGTATAGATGACATGCAGATTCTCCACACTTAATATATCCTCTTTCAAACCTTTGCTGCTGTTGATTTCACGAAGCAATAGACCCAGCCCACAGCATTTCTCTTTACAGACAGTAGCACAAAATACCAGATTATTTTAATGGGAATTTTATACTAAAGGAGCAAAGGAATAGTTTACCACCTTATGTGAATTGTGTTACAGATCAGACAAATAACAGTAAAGATAAATATCATATAGTTTGAGAAATATACCATTTTGTTGTTACCAAATCAACATTCTTTAGTTTGAGTTTGATGTTGGATTGAAAAAAATATAATAGCACTTAGAAAATTATTTCTGCACTTTTTTCAATAGTTTTGGGGCTTATGGCTATTTTTCTCATATCTGTGGCGGCAGCGATAGGTAGGGTAAAATTCATGGCCAAGATTTTCAAAAGCAGCGAGTGATTTTGAATATTCGCTCTCCCTCTAAATCCGTCCTCCTTAAAGCTTCCACAAATGGACGCACCCCAAATCATTAGCCACTGTTGTAAATCCTGGATCATACCGCTGGCTCAGAGTGTAAGTACACTACCTGGTCCCTGGAGAACTTGGAGTCATCTATAGCTCATCTTCCCTGTCCCTTTGCACAGGTGCTCAGGAGAGAGGTTACAAGGGAAGCAGCTGTGGGGAAATGCTTTTTGGTAGATAATGCTCCAAAGCCAGAAGTCTGGGAGCTTTGCTGTTTAGTCTCTGATTGTGTTGAATGATTTCCCTGTCTTGTCATAAGCATTTACCTTTGCTGAAGGGTAACTGTGTCCTCTTTTGGTGAAGTAATTCTACAAGTAAATAGGCTTTCTGAGGTGAACTATGTGGGGATTTGAGGGGCAACATACTCCCCTGCAACCCAGACTGAGAGCCCTGATCACTAGTCTTTGGCTACTACTCTAGCCCAAGCATGGTTTGAAGCAAGTGAATTCATCCACTTGGTAGACTCACTGGGTATGTCTATACTGCATTGTATACCCACGTCTGAGCATCCACACTGCATTGTAAACCTGAGTTAAAATTGCTGGGTTCGGGTCTCACAACCATGCTGATGTGTTCAAACTGCACTGTGCAGACCTTCTGACTGGGGTCTGTGGCTTGAGCTGATTCCACACTCCAGAATGACAGAGCTTGGTTCTGAGTCTCAGTGAGACTCCAGTTCTTACTCAGCACTGCTAGCAGAGTCTGTGGGTCTGAGTCCAGAGGGGATCCAGGCCCCAATCAAACTGATTTCTGTTTGGCTGGAAGAGGGACTTGGGCTCAAATTTCTGTCTGAACTTGAGTTGATAGTGCAGGATAGACATACCTACTGTGGGCGTTCCCCTGGCCTGCTCAAGAACTCCCCACATTTACTCCCACAGAACGCCACTCTGTGGCATGAAAGGGGTTGCAAACCCCAACCTCCCTACCCCTGTTGCCTCTTCAAAGCTCGTCCTCATTGATTCCCCTACTGAAGCACAACTGGGATGTTTCAGGCCTTATGCTGTTGGTGGAAGGGGAGGCTGGATTTCAGTCATAAAGACTGTGCCAACCTAGAATGAAGTGGAACAGATACACTGCATGTGAGATGCTCCCCTCAGGAAATGCTAGAGCAAGGTATGTGTATTAAGGGTAAAGGCACAGTTATGTGAACACAGACACACATGCAAGGCCAGAGTTGGAGGTATGCAAGATCAGAAACACATGCAAAAAGGAATTGTTAAAAATCTGGCCTTCAGTACATATTGTTCTTAAAGTGCTGGATTACCTGAGTTCACTTTGCCCTTGCAACAGGCAGCGAGATGTTTTTGTGAGACCAGATTCTTAAATCATTCTGGGTTTTTTTTAATCTTTTAGCACCTCACTTTTGATTGGAATTGTTAAATACTGCAAATAATTTGTGAATATTCATTCAAATTCCAAGTGCCTGCTCGGTTTGATCAGTCTATATACCTTTTTATTTGCTATGGGTGCGTGAGCTTGCACTGTGCTGAGTGTTCTGGCACTGATCCAGCAATGTTTTTAAGCACATGCTTCACATCAATCAATCAGATTGCCCATGTGCTTACAGTTAAGACTGTGTTTAAGTAGTAGATTGGAGCTAGAGTGCTCAACACCTTACAGCACTGGGTCCTGTTTGCAAACAGCCACACAAGCAAGGTTCTGTTCACAGGAATATCTGTAAATTTGAGTTCTTTAGATGAATACTTGGATCAGCATCTGAGCACAGGTATCCAGAAGTAAGAAGGAATATTCACCTGTTTAAAAAGTTTCTCATCTAATCTGTGAGCAGAAATAACAATCTACGTAACGAATAGTAACAAGTCAAGTTAAACATTTTGGCTTCCTATGCTTATCTGTACTTCCATGGGGAGTCTCATTAAGATCAATAGAACGACCAGTAGTAAAGTTAAGCAAATGTGAAAATTTCTCATCCCAGCCATTCAATGTATCCTTATGAATTCTGAGTACATTAGGCAACTTTGAAAATCTCAGCCCTAAAGGATTTGAATGCCTAATTCTCATTAAAGCTCATGTGAATTAGGTGTTCAAATACTGTAGTCAGCTTTGAAAATCTGAGCTTAGAAGAAAACCAGGATTGTTTAATGAGCAATATATAAATAGCAAATGAGATAAATTTGCTGGATACTTTATCTGAAATGCATAATTTGACCTGGTTTGTATTTGATGTTGTCAGCACCTAACTAGATCAATTCTATCTGACAGCATGTATTGAAGCTATTGTTTGGAAATCTGGAGCATTGCTTTGCTTTGACAATTTCAGCTGCTGAAACATTCATTCTGCAGAGACCTATTGACTCAAATTTCAGAGGCAAAAATGTATTTATTATTTACCAAAGCTCCCATTTCCAAGCATCTGGGACAGGGGATGAACTATGTGGGGATTAAAATAAATAAAAAATAAAACAATTAAACCCAAACTGGACCTAGTGTCCCATAAAATACAGACAACTTTAAAGAAAGAAAAAAAGAGATAGGAAACATATGTTCAACTGAAAAATGTGTGTGAGTTGTGGACAAACATATTGGGGGAAAAATGCAACTAGATCGCCAAAACAAGGCTATAACAATGATCACGTTGGGTTTTTTCTCTGATTGTTGATGTAACAAATCATCTAGTATGTTCAATACAGGCATAGTACATGCTGCATATGTACATTCAGTAGATGCATTCATATAGTACATTCATCCTGACTCTTATCCTTGAACTGTTTATTTTCTTATTGTGTTCATAGCACTGGATGGGCTCCCTCTTGTGGTTAATGTAAACCTTTTCTTCTTTCAGCCGAACGTGTGAAAAGCTAGTGAATAAATAAGGTAGCTTTAAACTACAGTATAGCTGTTTATTTTTTATTGGGTAAAATGGTTCAGATAACTGGTCGTTCATAAGACTGAGATTCTACTGTATTAGTATTTTATGACCTCTATGTAACATGCAAAAATGCATTCTCTTTGCTTTTTCAAAACAAAGTACTGATATGTGCTCAAAAATATTAACAATTTTTAAACATAAGTTATATTAAGCTGTGATCAAATTAGGCAAGATAGAAAAGGCTTATGCCAGGTATATTAAGCATTGTTTCACTCAACACTACAAATCCTCATTCTGCATGTATTGATCTCATTTATAAGCTCTGTAGCCCGGTATAAGGTTATATTGCATGTTTGCATTGTAAACTTCTGTAACTGTGTAACTCACCAAACAGGAAAGAAGCATTAATAAGTGTAAAGTGCCGGTCTTGTGGACAACAGGGCCTTTGGAACCAAATGAACCATTGTAATACCTCAAAAGGACAAATACTTTGATTACCTTCTCCACTGGCATGAAGAGGAGTCAACCACTGACACTTCTATCACAAGGATCGGCAACCTTTGGCACATGGCCCACCAGGGTAAGCCCCCGGCAGGCCAGGCTGGTTTGTTTACCTGCCACGTCCATAGGTTCGGCCGATCGCAGCTCCCACTGGCCGTGGTTTGCTGCTCCAGGCCAGTGGGGGCTGTGGGAACTGGCTGCCAGCACATCTCTCAGCCCACGCCGCTTCCCACAGCCCCCATTGGCCTGGAGCAGCGAACTGCGGCTAGTCGGAGCTGCAATCAGCTGAACCTGCGGACGCAGCAGATAAACAAACTGGCCCGGCCCACCAGGAGGCTAACCCTGGCGGGCTACGTGCCAAAGGTTGCCGATCCCTGTTCTATCAGTTTGGAGTCTGGGGAGAAGGGGATAAAAATCTCTGACAAGGAGAAACTTGGTTCTTTTTGCTGCTTGGACTCTAAAGGGGCAAGAATCGCTAAGCAAAAGCCACCCAGCTGTTTTGCCTGGGTTTGCCCCAAAGGACATACAAAGTCAGCTTATGACAGCAATTTCTATTATCTTTTGAAACTCAAGACTGATACTCCTTTGTTTGTGTATCTTACCTACTTTAACCTCATAAATAATTCCTTTTTTTCTTTTCTTATTTAATAAACGTGTAGTTAGCTTATTTCAGGATTTGCTATAGGCATCATCTTTGGGTTGAGATCTGAGTAAGTGACTGGCCCTATGGGACTGGAAGTAACCTGAATATTATTGTGATATTTGGTGTAAGTGACAATCTGTGATGCCTAGGTGGCAAGATAGACTGGAATGCCCAAGGGGACTGTCTGTGCCTCCATGGTAAGACTATTATAGTGCATTCAGAGTTCACACTTGTTACTGGGTGGATGAAACATAATTATAGAACATACCACCAGTTTGGGGTGTTTGCCAGCCTCAGAGCAGACTGTCAAGAAGCAGGGCACTCACAGTTGTGAGCCGCTCCACATGGCACAACAATGTTGTTTGACTTTTTCTTACCGCGTACAGGCAGTTGCATTTTACCATGTGCATCTATCAGGCTCTTTTCATATTGGTTCCTTGCAGCTCCTGTTATTTCTTTGCCACCTCAGGATGCTCAGAATTTCACAGGTAATGACGTCATCTTTGGCTGTGAAGTGTCTGCCTATCCTATGCCACACCTTGAGTGGAAGAAAAAAGGGAATAAAATGTTTCTGCCAGGAGATGATGCCCACATCTCAATCCAGGTAGATCATACTTATTCCATGTATCATGTTTTATACTATTGAATTGTGTGGAGGAGTTGGAGGGTTAAGGAGGCTATCTCATTTTTACTGACGTTCTCCTGTTGCAGAGACAAATTGGGTGAGGTAATACCTTTTATTGGACCAACTTCTGTTGGTGAGAGCAGGTTCAGGTCTCCTGTTGCTTCACTACATAGCCCAGTTTATCTACATATGATAAAAGGTTTAGAAAACCTGACCTATGAGGAAAGATTTAAAAAAACTGGGCATGTTGAGTCTTGAGAAAAGAAGACTGAGTGAGGACCTGATAAGTCTTCAAATATGTTAAGGGCTGTTCTAAAGAGGACGGTATCAATTGTTCTCCATGTCCACTGGTGGTAGAACAAGAAGTAATAGACTTAATCTGCAGCAAGGGAGATTTAGGTTAGATAGTAGGAAAAACTTTCTCATTACAAGGACAGTTAAACTCTGGAACACACTTCTATGGGAGGTTGTGGAATCTTCATTGCTGGAGGTTGTTAAGAACAAGTTGGATAAACACCTGTCACGGATGGTCTAGGTTTACTTGGTCCTGCCTCAGCGCAGGGGCATGGACTCAATGACTTCTCAAAGTCCCTTCCAGCTCCACATTTTTAGGATTCTATGAACGTCAATAACAGGATACAACACTATTACAAAGCCTATGTTATTATGATAAATAGCTTGCCAGCACGGGGTGCTACAGTATGATCCTGCCTGGGAATTAAGAGAATTCTGCTTTCAGAAGTGCTTGATGAGAGAGGACAGCATATGTAGAGGAAGAAGTAAACCCTGAATGTCGCACTGTCTTGGTTCTCTCTCTAATGGATCTGGTCATGATCCAGCAGTCCTTACCAGGAAAAACTCCCATTAACTTCACTGTGATTTTTGCCTGCATAAGGACAAAGGGGATCTGGGTCTCTGATCGTTAGCAGTTAAATCGCTGCTGTCAAGATTAAAAGTGTATATTAAATCTAATCCAAGAGTATATACGAAGGTGGTGTACCCCATGCTGAGGAAGAAGTTCCTCCACCAACTTGTGTGGCAGGAAAAATAAGAGCTTTCTGGCCTAGAAGGTAAAGTGGCTGCAGGCCTTGGTAGGGACAACAGCCTTTAAAAGGAAGTGTTCGGGTTGTGGGAGGGGCCCTGGATTCCAGAGATGAAAAGTCCTGTGCCTGGACCTGGGTTGAGAAGCCCTTTGTCACCTTTTATGCTGTTCAGACCTGGGCACTGCAGGCAAAGTGAAACAAGTTTGCTTTTGAACTCCCAGCCATGTTTGGGATTCACCACCCTTCTGGAGCCAGAGCTTCCATAGACCCCTGCCTGGAAAACATGGAGCCTAGCACTCAGCCAGCTCAGTGCAGGAGCCAGCTGGTCCAGCCCAGCGGGAAGGGCTGAGTCTCCTCCCCTAAAGACTAAGACACCACCTGTGATTAGAGGGGAGCAGTACCCCCTGGAGAATGAAGGTGGGGCTGGGCCAGCTGGTCACACCAGAAGATAATAGAGGTACAGAGATCTAAAAGCCACCATTTCTACCCACCTGTACCCTCACCCCCAGAAAACTTTAAAGGATGAGAAGTAGGGTCTGGGAGGCATATGGAGAAGCTGGTGTATGGAGCAGAAGGGGAGTCAGGTGTGGGGCTGGGGATGCAGAGTGGTGTGTGTGTGGGGGGGGGGGTGTCAGGGCTGAGTGTTGAAGAAGTTTGGGGAAGTGGGCAGGGGCAGCATGAGTTGAGGAGGCCAAGGGCAGCAAAGGGGAGGGGCACACAGGAGTAGTTACAGCTTGGAGGCCAAGGGGCAGTGGCAATGTACAGTAATTGAGAGCACAGTTTGGCCCCAAACATAATCCAGGTAATTACCCTTGTGGAAAGCATCCTCTTCTCTGGTGTCTGCTAAACCTTGACAGTGTGTTTGCCTTCTCTAAGGCAAGAGGTGGGCCTCAGAAGTATGGTGTGACAGGGTGGCTGCAAATTCAAGGCATCAAGAAATCAGACGAAGGCATCTACATCTGCCAAACAAAAAACAAGTATGGCACTGCGTATGCATCTGCAAGACTGAAAGTCATTGATGGTAAAGTGTTTTTCTTTTGAGGTGAAGAATTTTCAGCATTTGGTTTCAACACTTAGAGCCTGGGTTTCAAATGCATCTGCCTCACCTGGTAATGCAAATCCTCTGTGTTGGCACTTAAACTGATGCTCAGGTGCATAAAGCAGGCAATTGCCTCTCCTATGGTGTGGATCTGTCAGGGGCTGAGCACCCACAGTTCCTACAGACTTCACCTCACAGGGATTGGCCCTTATGTATTAAGGTGAGTGTCCAATTCTGAATGTCCTATTAAGAGGGCCACATTTGAAAACCATGTCCTGTCACTCTATCCTTATCCCTTATCTCTTATCAGCTCTAGGTATTTTTAGTCAAAAATGTGTATGAAGTGCAGTAAACAAAAATTGATAAACTGGTTAATATCATGGGGATTTGCTACAATTTTCACCTTTTTCCATCTGAAAGACACTGTGGATCACAACTGTAAAGTTCACAAGACACAAATTATTCTGCCATCCCTTTTTACACAACCCCCCCTTTGACTACAGGTAGAGTTTCATATCAGAACCATAGCTGCATGTGGCCCTGAGCAATTCTTAGAACTTCAACAATTCTGTTTAATCATTTATTTTTTGAAAAATTAGGAAGGAATTTGGAATTGCTTTTAATAAGGGTGCTTAGAGAAACACATGAAATAACTTTTACTATTTATTTTTTATTGGGCCCAGTCCTGGAGGCGAAACTCCTTTTTACTTTAAAGAGAATTGTGCTTGCATTGCATGGGCAGAAGCAGGCTACATTGTTCATGTTTCCCTCTTGATATGGTCCTCCTTCTCTTTGCCAAACAATGGGATTGATTTTACAATGGTAATTTCATGTGCAGAGCACTTGCAGGATCAAATTCATGGCTTACTTGTGTTTGGAACAGAGTTAAAATAAGTGTGTTTTCAACACTTGAGTGTGAGCGAGAGCTAAATACTACAAAGCTCCCGTTGACTTCAATGATACAGAAACGAGTCATCAGATATTGCCTCTTTCTCTCCAAAAGAGAATTTACTAATCCATTAACAAGTATGTTTAGCTCACTGTAGAATTCTAAAGTCATGTTATCTTCCTCTTAGTTCTTGCTTTGTATATGTTCCTTTTAATGTGGAGACAATTTATGTCTTGCTTTGCAGGTTCATCCTCTACATTTCAGATTTCTGCTGGCAGCAGAACCACAAGCTACGCTACAGATTATGGAGACTATTATGACCATACTGAAGAGGAGGAAGAAGATGAATCTGGGGACTATGAAAATTGAAATAAGTTCCTGTGTTAGTCTAGACTTATTAAGGGTCCAATATCCTTCCCTTTCAGCTGTATTTACTAGTGTGATCTGTTCTGTAAAGAGTCGTTTCCTTCCCACAGTTTGTATATCATTCTTCTGGAATTTGCAAGTTGTGCTCAGTCATTTGGCCAAAGAGTACTGTACTACATATCAGTAATAATAATAATCAGATAGACCAGGGGCTCTCAAACTGGGAATCATGACCTCTCGGGGGTTGCGAGGTTATTACGGGGGGGGGGGGGCACGAGCTGTCAGCCTCCACCCCAAACTCCGCTTTGCCTCCAGCATTTATAATGGTCTTAAATATATAAAAAAGTGGTTTTTAATTTATAAGGGGGTCACGCTCAGAGGCTTGCTATGTGAAAGGGGTCAACAGTACAAAAGTTTGAGAATCACTAAGATAGACCATAGGCTGGTATTGTCAGACTATTGAACACAACTGTTAAACATGGACGTGCCTATTAAGTATTCTGAAAAAGATAATCTTCTCCATTTTAATTTTTTTAAATGGTGAAGATTGGATTAACAAAATCAGTTCCGAAATTAACGGAATTCTTTACCTGACATCCATTATTTTCTTTCTGCATTGCCCATGTAGATATCAAGAGAGCATTCACAAACACAAGTAGTTACGATTGCAAAATAGCTTCAAATCTAACTCCTTTCATACTTTCAGGAAGATTTTCCTTTTCTGGTTTGATAGCTTCTAGGGTTAGTCTCAGCCCAAAGTGAATTGTCTTTTTTTTTTTTTTTTGAGCTGAGTGCATGAAACAATTACACCTTTCCCACTGTATAAATACAGCAGGTCTCCTAAGTCATCATCCTCGTCAGGGGCAGAAATTTACTATCTGACAGAAGGGATCTGGGACCCAAGGAGCAGTGAGGAAAATCCAGGGCTGCCTGTGCAACCAAACCGACAGACATACTGTATGGCTCCACCCAGAATTATTTATTTACCTCCTATTCTTTCCCTCCATCTTAGAGACCAATGTCCAAGGCATGGATCTTCACTTATGCTTTAAGCAGCATTGTGTAAGCTGGGGCTTTCTACAAATTAATGTGGAGTTAGCAGGAGTGGCTACTCCTGGTCTCTGTCCATACCCTTCAGACACATGGAACTCCAACTGCACAACGGTCACATAGACAAAATTTTGTGGGCTCCAACGCTCACTTTTTTTGTGATGCTTCCAACTAACAGTGCATTTTAGCTGCACATGCTTCTGATCCCTTGAGATATTGCATTCATGGAAATGCCAAAGCCATTTTTTAAAAGCAGAAAATTATTTCTTTTTTAAAACATTCTGGGAAAATTCACATACATTTTTCAAGCAATCTCAATGATTGACCAAATGGAACACAGCCAATCTAATGTACTCTAACGGCCTTCAGTCTTGTTTCTCCACACATTTAAAACTTTAACATTTGGAATATAAAATGATAGCCCTTAAAAATTTGCCTAGATTTAGATAACTAAAGAATTACCTGAGGCCAAGATATTCAATAATGGGTACCTGTAGTTCAACTCTTAAAGCCAAATTTTGGGCCCTAAATAAGTGTCCTGGTTTTCAGACATGCTGAGCACACATTACATCCCATTGCACCCAGTGTTTAAAGTCTTGGCTTCAGTATTTTCAATCTTCCCTCCATATTTCCTATACTAAATACAGTGATGTATAAGAAATGCAGGAAATAGTGTGGTAATATTCTCTATTTATCCAACTTAAAGTTAGGAAAGTTTTAAGTGAATCCACTGAAAATGGTGCATTGACTTTACATTAATTTAGTTTTTTGCATTTAGCATATATATATATAATGTGGGTGTTCTAAATGTATGTATTGTGAAATTTGAACATCTCCTTTATTCTTAGGATGTTGCTTTTTCTGCCATATGACACTGGAAATTTAAATTTTCTTTAGATTTGCAATAAAGTTGTAAGCTGGATATGAACCCTGTTTATAGGTGCTGAAACTAGCGGTGCAGGGGTGCTGCAACACCCCCTGACTTGAAGTGGTTTCCATTCCATACCGGGTTTACAGTTTGGTTAAATGGCTCTCAACACCTCCACTATAAAAATTGTTCCAGCACCCCTGACTCTGTTTGCCATGAGGTATTAATGAACTTCATGGAGATAGCAAAGACATATTTGGAGGAATTGTTTTTTGTTGTTGTTTTTGTAGATTTCCTAGCATGATGTTAATTTAGGAATGAAGTTCATGCCATAAGGTCATTGACAAGATCATTTGACTTAGGTTTAAAAGATGGCTTTGGATTTAACCAGTCGCCTTATTGTTATAAGCTATTACCAATATCTCTTACATTTTTGTATATTAGCTAAATGTTTATTAATTTAAAAAGAAACTTGATCAGTAGATTTTATTAATTTCTAAAATGTAATCTATTTCTATTGAAAATACCCAATCCACAGATATGGAGTTCCAGGGGATTTGTTTGTTTGTTTATTTGTTCATTACTACAAACAAGAGATTACCAAAGAAAATAATTTCATTGTGGTAAAGTACATATCAACACAGGGGACCAAAAGATATTATCTTCAAAACATTATGTGTGGAGACAAACTAGAATTCTTTATGGTCTCCTGCTGCTAATGCAAAATGAAAAACAAAGAGAATGACAGCTGGAGGAGAAAAACATATATCGTACTAGAGCTGTGTCAAAAACTATACAGTTGTATGCAAACTAGATAATTTGGCTGGATTCTTTGTGACCACCCTCAGAAAGCAAACATTTCCAAAGCATAGTTTTCACAATTAAATGTATTTTGTTTGTGGATGTGTGTATTTGGGGTAGTTTAACCACTTCATTGCTGTGTTATTTATTGCCATGAAATTCTTATTCCTTTCAGTGGAAATACTGTGCAACAAAAAATGTGAAGTCATTCAAGAAAGAGGGCATGCACCAAGCTGATCTTTTCTTGGCTGCTTTCTCTCTCTCTCTCTCTCTTTTTAAATCAGACCTTTCGAAATTAAATAAAAAGGATACAACAGATTCAGCCTTTTTCAGGTGGGATAACAATATGCATAAACACAAACAAATAGATCCAGTTTAGGGTTTCTCTGTAGCAAGAGAAATTGTTCTTTTTTAAGAAACCGAAAAAGGGTTTTATTCTTTATATTCAAAATTTTTGGTGGCAGAACCTCCACACACACACACACACACACAAAAGAACCTGAGTCTTGGTTTACATTTGCCCTGCTACGCTCTATCTGGGTCTCTAATGGGGTTAGGAGGCAGTTTCACTGAGAGTTTAGAAACATGCACACACTTTCCCTCTGACTATGTTTGATTTTAAATCCCTGGAGTTTCCCACTTTTTCTGCCCATAAAAATGATTGTTCTTGCTCCCTATGAAGACTGGATCCTCAATGCAACTAAGACAAGCACAGGGAGGGATAGCTCAGTGGTTTGAGCATTGGCCTGCTAAACCCAAGGTTGTGAGTTCAACCCCTGAGGGGGGCCACTTAGGGATTGGGGCAAAAATTGGGGCTTGGTCCTGCTTTGAGCAGGGGGTTGGACTAGATGACCTCCTGAGGTCTCTTCCAACCCTGATATTCTATGATTTTAGCTCATATAGCCACACACTAGACAAGAGTGCACAAAATTGGCATGAGCTCCACATTCCCACAGGTGAACAATGGTGTCACTCTCTAATACTCTCAATTCTGCCCAGCCCAAGAAACAAGAGCTTTAAGTTTGCTCCAGCATTGCATATTGACTGTCTTTTGAGCAAAACATTCACCCAGCAAAAGGTTGCTGTTGCTTATCTTAACACTATGCCTATGAATCTCAGTGCATTTGTAGTTATTTTTTAATCAGTTCCATTATCACAGTATTGCTGCCTCACTGTATGTAAATATCCTGACCTGCTAATATGAATGACGCAGTATTGTAATATACAAACAATTGTGTATAACACAAAGCTGAATAAAACCAAAGGCTTAATAATTTACTGTGAAAGATATAATACATTTAAATAATCCAACAGTAACACATTTGATTAGGAGGGACCCTTAATATTACAAATCTTAAAATGGTACAAGTATTTATAAGTTTTTGTGCAGTTAAATGTTACCTAGCCACTATAGTCCAGTGGATCGAGCTCAGAGTTGAAATACAGACACTTCTGAGCTCTAATCCTCTCTCGCTGTGTAGCCTTTTGGCAATTCACTTCATTTCTGTCTTATCTTCAAAATGGGATGTTGTGAGGTTTAATTTGTTGCTATCTATACAGTGTATGTATACAGCACTGGACAGCAGCTAGTTCTGCTGGTTTCTGAGGTGACTTCCACATGGATTACCACATCATACAAGATCCCAGGAAGAGATGACACAACCTTTGGCCAACTCACAGCTTGATCAAAATGTTTTGCCACTACAGGTGTTACTACATGTAGGTGGTGGCAGGGAGCTAGAGTATTGTTCAGTTCTCAGAGGAGTGGATGCTGACAATGAGGTGTGTGTTCTAGTTACTTGCAGAAAATGCAAGGCATTATCCATTAGTACAATGGCCTCCTGCAATGTCTGGGGCAAGCGGTGGAGAGTGTCAAGAGACACTTGCCCAGAAAGCTTGCTGAAAGGTGAGGCACTGTATCATGGGATAGAGCTGGGACACCCCTCTGAACGGATGCAGTTACAACATGTGACCTCCTATCCACAGTGAGGAAAAAGCATCATACTCAGCATTTGTCCACCCAGACTGGAGCTAAAGACTTGCCCCTGAGTAGTGCAATCATCAATCAATGGGACCAATTCCTGTAAAGATCCTGGAGCTGCATTTGTATGTGGATGCAGGACATTTTACTGGTGTTGCAAGTTCTGAGTATTACACTTTGTTGTTTGCAATGCTATTCTGCCTAGGGTAAATAGGGTTTAAGAAACTGTATTTGGAACCCTGCATTGGCTCCTCATTCAGCTTCTTAAGTAAAATTCAAATAGAAAGGAGCTCATCCATCTCTCAGCTGCTACGAAGCATTGATGGACCAGAAGCTTCCTTTGGGAGGAAGGGGAGGACAGACAGAAGAAAGAGGAAAAGGAGAGGGTGTGACCATTGTTATTACAGTTACCCCATTAACATTTCCCCACTGGGCAAAGGGATATTTAATGATATTTTGGTGATAAGGTCCCAGCCATGAACCATTGGGCATTTGTACATGGCTGTGAAAACATCAGGAAGACCCAGCTATGAGCTGTATGGAATATGTGGAACATTTGGTGATATTATTGATACCAATAGTATAAAATTGCAAATAATCTGACCAGATATGCCCTGTAAGGTACCTTCAAAAATGTTATTTGCCAAGTATGATAATCTTGTTTATAGAAAAGGAGTACTTGTGGCACCTTAGAGACTAACAAATTTATTTGAGCATAAGCTTTTCTTTTTGCGAATACAGACTAACACGGCTGCTACTCTGAATCTTGTTTATATGTTTATCACCTTTGTATTGTGAGTTATAGATATGTATGGTATATCTGTATTTCCAAATTTGTGCTGTGTTTCTGTGACACACCCCCAGACAGGTTGGCATCAGTTGCTCTGCATCCTATGCCAGCTCCTCTCTGCCCTTGACCTAGCCTATTTGATGGCGCATCAAGGGTCATGAGCTGTACAATGAACCCACTGAAAGGAGCCAGGGGATACACTTATGAGCCAGCACGGCGGTGGACAGCTTTTCCATGCCATGTCCTGTGAAGCTTGTTTTTGGGATACAGAAAGTACAAGCCGCATGCAAAGGGAATATAAAGGTCAGCAGCATCTTCTCTATTTTGTCTTCATTCCTGCTTTTTACCTCTGGAGTAACTTTTTTCTACAAACTGAAGCTCTGAACAAAGGACTGAATGACCCATATGGATGTGTTCCAGAGGGACTTTCAAGCCAGCAAACTTGCCAAGTGCTAAGAACCTGATATATGGACTTTGAAGTCTTATGTATGTATCTGAGTGCTTTACCATTTAACAACTCTCTTCTTGTTCTTTCTTTCTTTTATAATAAACCTTTAGTTTTAGATGTTAAAGGATTGGCTGGCAGCATGGTATTTTGGGTAAGATCCAAACTAATATCGACCTGGTAATGTAGCTGGCCCTTTGGGGTCAGAAGAACATTTTTTGTAGTGAACAGAGTTTTTAAATAACTTCTTACTGTACTGGACCTATGTGCTGATTGGGAAACAGAGTGCTGGAATGCAAAAAAGAGGACTGTATGATTTCTTTTTTAGCTTCTTAATAACCAGTGTGGGGGATCAGGAGCACAGTTTGTGACTGGTTGGTGAGTCTCACTTCATTGTTAACCACCAGTTTTGGGAGTATTTGCTTTCCTTTTTGCAGTCTGCCCTGACCTTGGCATTTTCAGTGAGAGCTACCCGAGGCACCCCAGGTCACACCAAACAATCTGAATGTGGTTTTGGATAATCACAGCCCATACTTCTGCAATGGAATACTAGATTATCCAGTTAACATTCACCAGGCTTTATATTTATACAAACACCAACCAAAGGTGGACAATAGGCACCTACCCAGCATAATAGGTGTGTGCAGCTCAGAAAGGGTCTACACTGTCATGTTAACTGTGACCCAAGTGGATCCTTGCCTTACTATACACATTTGATGATGAGTGATGTCATGCATGACAGAGCCATTAAGAACCCTTCATAAATATATGTATCTATGGGCTGATACATCATCTGGGGATCCATGAACCCGCTAACCTGAGCTGCTGCCCTGCCCACAGTACTCAAGATACAGACCCCAGACTTCTGCATCAGAAAATCTGTTCCAAAGACAGAGTATCTTGGCCCTGTCGGGTAACTAAGGCTGGTAAGATGAGGAAATTGTTCAAGCAGGTATATAGCCCCAACAGGCAGATAATTGCACAATGTTCCCCGCCCACCTCCTACTGCCAAGCAACTCTGCCTAAAATTGCTCTGTATCCTGTGCCAGCTCCTCTCTGCCCTCCTAATGCACACTGCCTCTCTCCTTAGTGCTCAGTCTAAGGGACAAGGTGGGAATACACATGGGGGAAGACAGCTCAAAATGACAGAGCAAGGCAGGAAGTAGTAGGTGTTTTGGCAGAGTAGACATAGGGCCAGTTTAGATTTATTTTAGATGAGAGTCCTGACCTGGCCTTGTCTTCCTGAGGCTGCCAACCTGATCCTTTGCCAAATGCTTAGTTCTTAAATTGTTATAACTAATTGGCTTTGTTCTTTACAAAGCTTTGCACAGCAGGAAGCACGGTTTAGGTGCACAACATACAAGCCTGAGGAGAGCCTATGCATGGGGCACATGTGCTTAAGAACCAGCGAGCCAAAACCCCCTATGCATGTGGTTCCTAATCCACAAGTGCACAGTACAACAAAAGGGCAGGGCTTATGCAGAGAACGGATGTATCTAAGGAGGCATGGACTGACGTTTGCAGGTTATGGTGTATGAGTGCTCTTAGGCCTCACTCTTGATACTAGGCAGAAGTAACCTGTTTTCTGTACAGCAGTGCTCAATTAATGCACAGTCAGGATTCCCTGCATTTCCAGTCTTGTTCATTGCTTTTTAAGATTCTTATACATATCACACTTTACAGTTGTTCTGAGTAGGCCCAAGGTCTTTCCGTAAAATGTAGGAGTTTTTAATCTTATAGTTACCACTTGTACTAACAAGTTTCTTTTAGCAGTTAGTCCGATTCATTACTACACTGCATCAGATCCATAGCCAGAAGAAACGCACATACAACCTCCATGCTATAATTAAGCAATTGGCCATTATTTTTATTATCCCCGAGACTTTCTTTTCAGTTTCCATTCGTAGTAATTCTCTCTATTTTGGGGATATTTGTTGGGCTCCTGACCCATTTTCCCTTTAGTTTTTTTTATTATTATTAATACTATGATTATTTTTATTACTTGTATTGCTGTAGCATCTAGGAGCTCTAGTAAAGGACCAGCACCCCCACTGTGCCAGGTGTTGTACAAAAAGAATAAAAAGACAGGCCCTCCCCGTCCCCCTTTCCTTGTGTGTATCTCTGTGCCATTTTGCATGTTTTGCGACTTTCTCTTTCCCGATTGCTTATGATCATCCAGGTACTACTGCTCTTCCATGCGATAAAGAAAGGGTGGTGATTTTGGTGAGGTACATGTCTGGGAGTCAGGGGATCTGGGCTGAGGCCAAAAATTCTTAACGTGGTCTTTGATTTTTGAGGGCCAAATTTCAGCCTTCCCTATGCTTCTTCACCAATGGCAAAATAACTCGTGTGACATTCTCTTGGGGCTCCATGTAGCACCACGTAGGAAGTAAAGCAGATGCTTTTTTCTGATTACTATATTTGGATTTTGAACTAAAATGAGCCCTAAGGTAAACCCATTCCACATGGATTTAAGCAGAGGATCATTTTCCTACACCAAGCAGGGGATTTTGGAGTCATTGAGTCACTTGCTAGCAGTGATGTGTTCCTCTGCCTCTACCAGCCACCAAGACCACAGCAGCAAAAGGACCATTTATTGGTTCAATAGAGTCCCGGACATCTTGACTCACAGCAACGTCACCATTGATGGCAATGGTGGCACGTACAGGGCATTAGTCTTATGGCTTTTGTCCAATTACCACATCCCTCCAGCCTAGCATGCCGTCACCTTCAGCATCCCCTCCACTGTATGCAGCAAGAGAAATGGGACCATGCACCACACTGAACAGAGGAAATGGAGTAACAGTCCATCTCCACCAACCCTCTTGCCCCCATCTACTCTGGACTGGATTGTGCGCTCCTCCTTATTAGCGCTGGCTGCTCCGTGCCTCCCATCGCCCCCAGCACGCTCCACATTCCGCTCTCATGTCCCCCTGCTCTCAGCTGCCCTGCTCTGCACTGCCTCCCCCACTCCCTGCTGGCTTACACTGCATTATTCCCCCCCCTCGCCCTGCGTAGCTGTACGGCGTGGCTCTCTCCGCTCTCTGCTGGCTGTGCACTGCCTCCCCTCTGCCCATCTCATCACTGCATACAGACTGGGACACTTCCCCCCCCCCCAGTTTACCACTGCATTCCCCCACACTTCCTTTCTGCCCCCATTCTCCTTTCGCTCTTCTCCCCCTCCCCAACAGTGCATCGCCCCCACCACCCCAGAAACACACTGCATCCCCGTTTCACCCTGCCCCCCTCCCCCATACACTGTATTGCTCCTCCCCCTTGCTGTCGCCCCGCCCCTTCACACTGCCCCCTTCGGCTCGCTTCCCTTCTCCCTCACTGTATCGCCCCGCCCCCCCGGCTCCACACACTGCATTCTCCCCCTCCCCGGCTGTACACGCTGCCCCCGCCCCGGCCCGCCCCGCGTTGCCCCCTGGCCCGGGCCGGGCACGGCCCCCACGCCCGGCTCCCGGTGCCGCTCGGGAAGATGGCGCGGCACGTCCAGGTCAGTGCACCGCGGGCCGGGGCGGGCCGGGCGGAGGAGCCGTTGGGAGCCGGCCTGGCGGTTGGAGCTGCTGTGGCGCGCTGGGTCGGCCACGGAAATGGCCGTGGGGGGGTGCGCCGGAGAACCGGGCCATGGGGTGGGGCCAGGCTGGGGATGGGGTAAGGGGTGCGTGGGGGGGGGGGGAGGAGGTAGTACCAGAGTGCGTCGTGGGGTGTGCCAGGGTGGGGAGGGGGATGCTGGGGTGGGTCGTGGGGGGGTACCGAAAGGGGTGCCAGGATGGGTCGCGGAGAGGAACTAGGGGGGTGCTAAGGTGGGTCGGGGAGGGGTGTACCGAAGGGATTGCCAGGTGGGTTGTGGAGGAGTGTACCAAAAGGGGTGCCAGGTTGGGTCGGGAAGGGATGCAGGGGGGTGCCAGGGTGGGTCAGGGAGAGATACTGGGGGATGCCAGGTGGGTCGGGAGGGGTACCAAAGAGGTGGGTTGGTGGGCACTGGGGCGGGTTGTGGAAAAGACGGTGCCTGGAAGGTTGCAGAAAGCTGGAGGGATGGTGCCATACTCTACAGGGGGAATAATACTGGTACAGTGTAAGTGCCTCTGGGTGTGAAAGGGGGACCGATGTAGCAAGATAGCCAGTGCAAAGGTACTCCCAGGACGCAAATGATATAGGGAGCAGGAACAGAGCTGTGCAGGAAATGGAATTTCTCTTCTGCTGAAAATTTGACACGTCTGGGGGAAAAAATCAGAACAGAAGTTGGACATTAAAATTTATAAGGGATATTTAATTTCCCACACATCTCTACTCCTGCTTCAGCTTCCTGGGTCATTTATAATCAGTTGGCACCTTTGCACCTGACTCCTTTGCATTGGCTGTCTTGCTGTGTTTTCCAAAGCATTGCTGCAGCTACTTCAAACCAGATTGGAGTGCATTTGGGAAATACAGGCATCAGTTGCATGTGACCACGTGGGTTGGTATCATATTAGGAGAGGGTTATGCCAATTCCATTTCTGCTTGGAGGGGCAGTGTATTTCCTATGTCTGCTCTCTGTAATCTGTCACTGGCTTTCCCCACAGTAATGGTGTTATTTTTTAAAACAGGCTAGTGGAAAATACCTATATTCAATCATCCACTTTAGTTTCTTGCAGCAGAGAATTGTGCCCTTCAGCATGTCCTATTTATTAATTCAGTGTGCTTTTTGAAACATCATGCAACAAACACAATACATTGATTAAATAACAAGTTCCTGCATATTGACAGAATTCCAAGTAGAGGACACAAGTTAGTCCCTACCTACCAGCGTGCATCTTTCCTACGGTTTGCCTCAAGCAAAAACCTGTCTGATAAGGTATGTCTGCATTTATGACGGTGTGTAAATTACAGGCACTACAGGAGCTTCTGGAGCCTTTCCCCTCTGGAGCCTTTCACTGTGGCCAGGAAAGGCTCTGGCAGGGGGAGGTAGTGGGACACTACGCTGCTAAAAAGAGCGGTATAGACATGGGAGGCACTGCGTGGCATGCAGTGAGCCTTGTATGGTATAAACCCTAGAGGTACTGGTGTGTAAAGCACTCTAAGCCATGTGTCACGATCTACACTGCTATTTATACCCA